TTTGGAAATTCTGATTTCTTTTTACAATAATTATCAAAAGCTACCTTGAAGCACAACCCAAACACGGTCATAAGCAACCCAATTGCAAACCCATAAAGCACATCTTATGATTTAGATTTTGGAAAACTTTGAAAGGTCATAACTTTTTTTCTTTTATAGATAAAAAGTTGAAATTTTCACTGAATTTTATCTCAATAAAAAGAGGTTATTTGAGACGCCGAGCCCAAGGACTTAATTTTCAAGAAAATCAGCTTTGAATCTTTTATGAAATTTGAGACAAAGTTTTGACTTTGAGCCTCAATATCTCCAGAAGTATTTAGGATAAAGAATTGAATCTTATTCTATCTTGAAGATAATTTAATTCTGATTCAGAATATATAATTTTACATTATATTTATTGCAATAATAACCGAGTAATGAGTGATTTTGTGAGACAATGTCAGATTATTGAAAATTTCTGGGCCCAAAATGTGGAAAAACGGTTTTTATTTTCTCACAAGCCCTAAAACGCAAAAAACAAAGTTGCGTAAATGCTTTTCCACTAGTTTTTACCTCTTCTTTCGATTGGTAGAGTCAAAAATTTCAAAATCCAAAAATTTCAAAATTCGAACTTTTTCAAAGGGGTATGGAAATTTGATTTTCAAATATTTCAAAGGGCCATATTTTGGAAACCAGTGAAGCTATCGGCATGAATCTTTTGCCCAATTGTAGCTCTTGAGAAGGGCTATAAAAAAGGTTATTTGAGATTCCGAGCTCAAGCGCTTCGTTTTTAAGAAAATCAGCTTTGAATCTTTTGTGAAATTTGAGACAAAGTTTTGACTTTGAGCCTCAATATCTCCAGAAGTATTTAGGATAGAGAATTGAATCTTATTCTATCTTGAAGATAATTTAATTCTGATTCAGAATATATAATTATGCATTATAATTTGTGCAGTTATAACCGAGTCCTTATAAACTCTGGACTCTGGATAACCAAATCAAACTTCAAAATTGCTGAATTCATTTAGTAAACCAAAAATGTGTTTTTCAATTTTTGATGTGTGAACATCTATACCGGCGGTTTGATGGTAAATTTCGGGAAATGTGACGGAAGTAAGTCATAACCCATGTGCAATGCTAAGTTCGCAGCTACCTCAGCGCTTGCAGCCTATGAGGATTCATTAGATTTCCATGATAGATCAAGGCTGTTTTAAGGAGGACGTTGCGTAATAACTTATACCTATGACATCATTGGGTAGGAATGCAAGGTGGTATTAGACTGTATTCATAAATGTACACGGTACTTTGAATACTTGGGTAGGTATTGAATACTTGTAATTGTACTCTGTACTCGAGAACATTCTACGCTAAGTAGGTACTTGTACCTGGTAGCCGAGTACATTTTGCCTGTACTCAAAACTGCTCTGACCATGCTACACCCAGTCGCCTATACATCATCTGGTTTGAAATTGAAACCCTTTCGAGCATAGACCATGAGCGGCTATTACTGCTCTAAACCCGGCCCTCCATGTGAAAGCTATAGCTACGTCGTTGCACACAACCTACTCAACCCAACCTCAACTGAAGCAAATCAATATGAACTCCCAAATTCAGATTAGGGTCAATATAGAGTCCAAGAAACTTTATGTGATCAGTGAACGGAATAGTCATTCCATCCATTCGAGTAAGAAAAGACCCCAAGTTATTTTGAATCCTGGAAAAAAAAAATATTAAACCTGTTTTGTTGGTGTTCAAACTTAGGTTCTTCCCAATACACCACTCTTTCATCCTCAGGGCGGCATCCGAACAACTCTGGGAGAGTTCGCCATTATTAGATTGAGCTACCACAACAAAGGTGTCATCCGCGAACTGACAGATGACCTCAGACGAAAACCCTTCAGCCAATTCATTGATATACAACAAGAACAACATGGGACCCAAAGCCCTATGGGACACCCTGCCTTAAACTGGCCATTCCAGAAAAAGACTGAACACCATCCCTGACAACACAAACAGCCTGCTTTCTGCCCAACAAATAAGACTTTAGCAGATCCGCTGCAGCACCTCTAACACCATAATGGTTCAGCATGCACAGCATCAGAGAATGTTCAACCGTACCGAATGCCTTAGACAAATTGAAGGCCTGCAACCTTGGAATTTGTATCCAGTTGATCAGTTATATACCTATTTTATTGCATGGAAAATTGCCATATTAGTGGACATTTTATTGTTGCTTTTTCAATATGTTATGTCTAACTAGATGATTCATCACTTTTGATTAAATAACCCTCTCGAATACTTTTGAGTCAGCAGGCAGAACTGATACTGGACGGTAGTTTCGAATATCCTGATTATTTCCTTTCTTAAACACTGGAACCACTTTACCCCTTTTAAGAACATCAGGAAATACTTGAGTAAAAAGATACTCATTAACAACATCAGGCAAAGGCTCCGAAACACAGAGAGCTACAAATTTTAAAACATAGACAGGAACTCCAGCAAAACCTGAAGAATATGGGTCAACTGGTTCCAGAAAAATTGATGGATGGTTACCATTATTTTCAATTACGTATTCAGTCAGAGGATGAAAAGGCAGATCAAAATTATCAGCAAAGAGCTGAGCCAAGGAGTTAGGATCATCAACTGACATTCCATCTACCTTCAGTGGAAAACTTCTTATATTTCTTTCTTTCCTTTTTGTAAATGTCATAATGAGCCCTACAGTTTGTGCATTTATAACAGACAGGTCTTTGATGTAATTTCAAAATTTATCCAAGATGGTTTATTATTTTTTACATTTGTGGAAGACATCGGAAATGCAATATTAAAATGGTAATTGAAAATATTGAAGTATGCTGAGTATTTTCCTTCAACGCCATTTGACTGATACACCTCATCCCAATTCTCATTTAACAAATAATTAGAAAAATTAACTAAATTTTCATCGCTAAATGTTAATTATCTTGTTTTAAGGACGAAGAAAGAAAAAAAACTGGTCGTTACCTGGCAGTAACCGCAGTACTACTGATAATAGGTATCGGACTTTACCACACAGTACCAAAAATAACGTCGAAAATAACGGCTTTGGTTTGCGCCCCCGTTATTTTGCTCTTGTACCTTTTATGGTTGTGGTACGCTTCGCAAAAAAGGAAACACTATCTTAAGGTAATATGCAACTTTTTCAGCTGAATCTTCTCACATCTTATTTTTCCAGAGGATTGACGTGAATGTGGAAAGCCAAGCGAAGGCAGTATTGGAAAATCTGAACAACCACAGCAGCAAAGATGAAACAGTCAAGTTGACCAACGAAAATGTGAAGAAGTATTTGGAAAAACATAAACTAGGAGAAAGTAATATTAATAATAATAATAATAATAATTGCGAGGCGAGAGAAGAAAGTTCTTCCAGAAAATCGTCGGGAAATTGTGAAATATTGATTAGAACTTATTCTATAGCGTGAAATTTTGTATATTAGTCTCCATATAAATCACATAAGTGTCCAATAAAAAATAATTTATTCCGCCAAAAGTTGGCAAAGGATTTTTGCTTCATCAACGAAAAAAATGTTTATTATTCCAATTAAAAAAAGGTGTGAATCCAAAATAAATAAATCCAACATTGAAAAGTTGTTTTTACCATCATGCATTATTTTTAGATTTACCTTCATAAATCATCAAGGTATTTTTCTGTTTACCTTAAGTAAAATTCCAACATCCACACACACAAATAATCCAGATTTAATTATTGTCTTTTAAACAAACCCATTATTCTTGTTCATCCCCCCCCGACAGGTAATAAATTTCGTCCTTATCTTGTTCGGATGCTTTAATTTCTCCCCCAATATGATTTAAATGGGAGAATTTTGTTTGATGCGAAATAGGAACGCCGATTTGATTTATAATTTCGCTTGGTTTTACGGTTTGGCTAGGGGTTTTAATCGAGATTTTTGGTTTGAAGTTAATTAACTGAAAATGGTTTACCCTTCACCCAAGCACTCTTAAGTTTTAATTAAGAAAATTTCTTAGGATTATTTTATTTTAAGCACTAGATTTAAGGGGGTTGAATTTTTGACCTAGAAAGAGTTAGAATGAATTAAATAAAAATAAACACGTTGTGAGCATTGTGGTAGGTACTTTTGATATCTTCTTTCTTCTTCAGTATACATCATTACAATTTAATAAACATTATGAATAAACTCTTGAGACATGAACGATTTGACACTGATCAAAACTCTTCAAAAACTGCACAAAAGTGAACTCACTATGGTTTCAACAATTTCATATCATCCGTTGATAAGTTAGAAAATGATGGAAAACTAAAACTCTTGGTGAACTATGTAAGCCACAACAATTATAAGCACATATCCTGCTGTTCTTCTTACTCAGAAACTATTAAGATTTTGAATTTAATTTTCACTAAGCCTAAAAATGACTAGTTTGGAGCAACTGAAGAGACTGTTGATCAGTACTAACAACCTATGCTGATAATCATGTTATATGCCTACTCAATCAGAAGAAAGTGTAGATTTTTTACAGGAACCTATACCCACACAACAAATGCGGAAAATCAGTCTCAATCTATTTACTGTGAGTCACAACTAGAAAACCAGATCCGTCATGGATCAAGAACTAGACAATCTCCCAAATATCTTGATGATTATGTTGAAAAATAAACCTGGGGAGAATGTGGTACTTTTGATATCTTCTGTATACAGTTTTTGTTATCAGTATTAATTATTATCACATCATTGTCATTAGTTTTTCATGATTGTGAATGTCGTGTATAATTCTTGTTTATCAAAGCCTAATTTCTAAAGGTAATTCAGTAAATTATTACAAGCATTTCAATTTTTATCCCTTTCACTCAAGGGCGTCTGGAAAAGTGGCATATTTCACACGTAAAAATGTGTGTGTGCTAATTGGGTAAAACTTGTAAAAGATTATAAACTCCGGCTTCGTTGTCAAGGAATCCTTAAAAAGAAAACAATAAGAAAATTTTCTTTAAAGGGATTTTCCTTAATTTAATAATATGTGCGGATCATATAAAAGACATTTTTCTCCGGACGTTAAAACCGAGTCGCGGCCCAAAGCGTCTTCAACCCAAACATAAGATAAATGTAAAATAAGACTAGTAAGTTTTTTTTTTTTTTTTGATTTTTGGTAAGTTTTGTCTTCCCCAAGTAGAATCCATGGTTCAAATTATTGATCCAAACAAAAATAATATAGTGAGTACCTATATACCTATCTATTTATACAAAATAGATGTGAAATGATAAATCGTTTTTAGGACAATCAGGTAACACTATGTCTGTGATGGGAGAACCAAGCTTTGCCAATTGGGCAGCCCAGCGTGCCACTGGCTTTGGTGGTAAGCCCCTCTTAATAAAATATGGAATCAATCTACAACAAATCGTTTCCAGGTAATCTTACTGTCGTAGACCATGTGCCGCCTGAAATGCTTCACATGGTGGACGCCTATTGGTACCAATATGCACCACTCAATCCATTGTGGCATGGCATTTTGGGCTTCATGATCGCAGTATTGGGCTTCATCTCCATCATTGGTAATGGCATGGTAAGTTTGATCTTTTGTACATCTATCATCAAGATCTCAAGACTTCATTAATTCTTCTGAATAGATCTTAAATGATTCCTTCATCTATTTTTGGCATTATCCTGAACTTCTTAGTGTTATTTGGAGCCTCCTTTTAACATCTGCTTTGTATCATCAAGGTTATCAACCTGCATTGAGAAATTTGACTTGTGACTTGTCGTTCTTCTTTCTAGAACAATATAGTTCAATTGTGATGCCTTTTCGATGATTATCCATTCCAAATTCCAATTTAATGCTCTTTCCAATGGTATATAATTTATTTCAATTTGCTCGAAATTTAACAAAGATATGGCAATTGCTCATGACCGTGTCAAGATTTCGAAAGTTTTCCAGAGTCAAAAATAGGATTTCTCTTTTAATTTTGTTTCTACTTGAAATGGCCATTTGGAAATGATGTTAGGGTTGTTTCCCCCTAACTTTGACCCGCTCTATCCATTGGTAAAATCAAAATTGAGCAAAACTGCAAAATGAAAAAATCGATTTTTTCATAAGGGTACCTACCCCTTTGAATTCTGATTTGAAAATATTCAAACCTCGGTTGCTCGGTAACCGCTGAGCAAATTGCATTGAAATTTTCAGCATTTATAGCTCTTATTAATCTCTGAATAGCCTGTAATTCACAATATTCCCAGATTTATAGTTTTTTAGCAAATTGAATTTGAAGTTTTTGACAAAATTTGAACTAAAAGTCAATTTTGAGGCTCAATTGCTCCAAAACTATTTGAGCTATCAAACTCAATTTTGCACTGATTTATAGAGAATTTAATGCTCTTTCCAATGGTATATAATTTATTTCAAGTTGCTCGAAATTTAACAAAGATATGGCAATTGCTCATGACCGTGTCAAGATTTCGAAAGTTTTCCAGAGTCAAAAATAGGATTTCTCTTTTAATTTTGTTTCTACTTGAAATGGCCATTTGGAAATGATGTTAGGGTTGTTTCCTACTAACTTTGACCCGCCATATCCATTGATAAAGTCAAAATTGAGCAAAACTGCAAAATGAAAAAATCGATTTTTTCATAAGGGTACCTACTACCCCTTTGAATTCTGATTTCAAAATATTCAAACCTCGGTTGCTCGGTAACCGCTGAGCAAATTGCATTGAAATTTTCAGCATTTATAGCTCTTATTAATCTCTGAATAGCCTATAATTTACAATCTTTTCAGGCTTATAGTTTTTTAGCAAATTGAATTTGAAGTTTTTGACAAAATTTGGACTAAAAGTCAATTTGGAGGCTCAATTACTCCAAAACTATTTGAGCTATCAAACTCAGTTTTACACTGATTTATAAAGAATTTAATGCTCTTTCCAATGGTATATAATTTATTTCAATTTGCTTGAAATTTAACAAAGATATGGCAATTGCTCATGACCGTGTCAAGATTTCGAAAGTTTTCCAGAGTCAAAAATAGGATTTCTCGTTTAATTTTGTTTCTACTTGAAATGGCCATTTGGAAATGATGTTAGGGTTGTTTCCCACTAACTTTGACTCGCTCTATCCATTGGTAAAGTCAAAATTGAGCAAAACTAAAAAATGAAAAAATCGATTTTTTCATAAGGGTACCTACCCCTTTGAATTCTGATTTGAAAATATTCAAACCTCGGTTGCTCGGTAACCGCTGAGCAAATTGCATTGAAATTTTCAGCATTTATAGCTCTTATTAATCTCTGAATAGCCTGTAATTCACAATATTCCCAGATTTATAGTTTTTTAGCAAATTGAATTTGAAGTTTTTGACAAAATTTGAACTAAAAGTCAATTTTGAGGCTCAATTGCTCCAAAACTATTTGAGCTATCAAACTCAATTTTGCACTGATTTATAGAGAATTTAATGCTCTTTCCAATGGTATATAATTTATTTCAAGTTGCTCGAAATTTAACAAAGATATGGCAATTGCTCATGACCGTGTCAAGATTTCGAAAGTTTTCCAGAGTCAAAAATAGGATTTCTCTTTTAATTTTGTTTCTACTTGAAATGGCCATTTGGAAATGATGTTAGGGTTGTTTCCCACTAACTTTGACTCGCTCTATCCATTGGTAAAGTCAAAATTGAGCAAAACTGCAAAATGAAAAAATCGATTTTTTCATAAGGGTACCTACCCCTTTGAATTCTGATTTGAAAATATTCAAACCTCGGTTGCTCGGTAACCGCTGAGCAAATTGCATTGAAATTTTCAGCATTTATAGCTCTTATTAATCTCTGAATAGCCTGTAATTCACAATATTCCCAGATTTATAGTTTTTTAGCAAATTGAATTTGAAGTTTTTGACAAAATTTGAACTAAAAGTCAATTTTGAGGCTCAATTGCTCCAAAACTATTTGAGCTATCAAACTCAATTTTGCACTGATTTATAGAGAATTTAATGCTCTTTCCAATGGTATATAATTTATTTCAAGTTGCTCGAAATTTAACAAAGATATGGCAATTGCTCATGACCGTGTCAAGATTTCGAAAGTTTTCCAGAGTCAAAAATAGGATTTCTCTTTTAATTTTGTTTCTACTTGAAATGGCCATTTGGAAATGATGTTAGGGTTGTTTCCCACTAACTTTGACCCGCTCTATCCATTGGTAAAATCAAAATTGAGCAAAACTGCAAAATGAAAAAATCGATTTTTTCATAAGGGTACCTACCCCTTTGAATTCTGATTTCAAAAGATTCAAACCTCGGTTGCTCGGTAACCGCTGAGCAAATTGCATTGAAATTTTCAGCATTTATAGCTCTTATTAATCTCTGAATAGCCTGTAATTTACAATAGTCCCAGATTTATAGTTTTTTAGCAAATTGAATTTGAAGTTTTTGACAAAATTTGAACTAAAAGTCAATTTTGAGGCTCAATTGCTCCAAAACTATTTGAGCTATCAAACTCAATTTTGCACTGATTTATAGAGAATTTAATGCTCTTTCCAATGGTATATAATTTATTTCAAGTTGCTCGAAATTTAACAAAGATATGGCAATTGCTCATGACCGTGTCAAGATTTCGAAAGTTTTCCAGAGTCAAAAATAGGATTTCTCTTTTAATTTTGTTTCTACTTGAAATGGCCATTTGGAAATGATGTTAGGGTTGTTTCCTACTAACTTTGACCCGCCATATCCATTGATAAAGTCAAAATTGAGCAAAACTGCAAAATGAAAAAATCGATTTTTTCATAAGGGTACCTACTACCCCTTTGAATTCTGATTTCAAAATATTCAAACCTCGGTTGCTCGGTAACCGCTGAGCAAATTGCATTGAAATTTTCAGCATTTGTAGCTCTTATTAATCTCTGAATAGCCTATAATTTACAATCTTTTCAGGCTTATAGTTTTTTAGCAAATTGAATTTGAAGTTTTTGACAAAATTTGGACTAAAAGTCAATTTGGAGGCTCAATTACTCCAAAACTATTTGAGCTATCAAACTCAGTTTTACACTGATTTATAAAGAATTTAATGCTCTTTCCAATGGTATATAATTTATTTCAATTTGCTCGAAATTTAACAAAGATATGGCAATTGCTCATGACCGTGTCAAGATTTCGAAAGTTTTCCAGAGTCAAAAATAGGATTTCTCTTTTAATTTTGTTTCTACTTGAAATGGCCATTTGGAAATGATGTTAGGGTTGTTTCCCACTAACTTTGACCCGCTCTATCCATTGGTAAAATCAAAATTGAGCAAAACTGCAAAATGAAAAAATCGATTTTTTCATAAGGGTACCTACCTCTTTGAATTCTGATTTCCAAATATTCAAACCTCGGTTGCTCGGCAACCGTTGAGCAAATTGCATTGAAATTTTCAGCATTTATAGCTCTTATTAATCTCTGAATAGCCTGTAATTCACAATATTCCCAGATTTATAGTTTTTTAGCAAATTGAATTTGAAGTTTTTGACAAAATTTGAACTAAAAGTCAATTTTGAGGCTCAATTGCTCCAAAACTATTTGAGCTATCAAACTCAATTTTGCACTGATTTATAGAGAATTTAATGCTCTTTCCAATGGTATATAATTTATTTCAAGTTGCTCGAAATTTAACAAAGATATGGCAATTGCTCATGACCGTGTCAAGATTTCGAAAGTTTTCCAGAGTCAAAAATAGGATTTCTCTTTTAATTTTGTTTCTACTTGAAATGGCCATTTGGAAATGATGTTAGGGTTGTTTCCTACTAACTTTGACCCGCCATATCCATTGATAAAGTCAAAATTGAGCAAAACTGCAAAATGAAAAAATCGATTTTTTCATAAGGGTACCTACTACCCCTTTGAATTCTGATTTCAAAATATTCAAACCTCGGTTGCTCGGTAACCGCTGAGCAAATTGCATTGAAATTTTCAGCATTTATAGCTCTTATTAATCTCTGAATAGCCTATAATTTACAATCTTTTCAGGCTTATAGTTTTTTAGCAAATTGAATTTGAAGTTTTTGACAAAATTTGGACTAAAAGTCAATTTGGAGGCTCAATTACTCCAAAACTATTTGAGCTATCAAACTCAGTTTTACACTGATTTATAAAGAATTTAATGCTCTTTCCAATGGTATATAATTTATTTCAATTTGCTTGAAATTTAACAAAGATATGGCAATTGCTCATGACCGTGTCAAGATTTCGAAAGTTTTCCAGAGTCAAAAATAGGATTTCTCGTTTTAATTTTGTTTCTACTTGAAATGGCCATTTGGAAATGATGTTAGGGTTGTTTCCCACTAACTTTGACTCGCTCTATCCATTGGTAAAGTCAAAATTGAGCAAAACTGCAAAATGAAAAAATCGATTTTTTCATAAGGGTACCTACCCCTTTGAATTCTGATTTGAAAATATTCAAACCTCGGTTGCTCGGTAACCGCTGAGCAAATTGCATTGAAATTTTCAGCATTTATAGCTCTTATTAATCTCTGAATAGCCTGTAATTCACAATATTCCCAGATTTATAGTTTTTTAGCAAATTGAATTTGAAGTTTTTGACAAAATTTGAACTAAAAGTCAATTTTGAGGCTCAATTGCTCCAAAACTATTTGAGCTATCAAACTCAATTTTGCACTGATTTATAGAGAATTTAATGCTCTTTCCAATGGTATATAATTTATTTCAAGTTGCTCGAAATTTAACAAAGATATGGCAATTGCTCATGACCGTGTCAAGATTTCGAAAGTTTTCCAGAGTCAAAAATAGGATTTCTCTTTTAATTTTGTTTCTACTTGAAATGGCCATTTGGAAATGATGTTAGGGTTGTTTCCCACTAACTTTGACTCGCTCTATCCATTGGTAAAGTCAAAATTGAGCAAAACTGCAAAATGAAAAAATCGATTTTTTCATAAGGGTACCTACCCCTTTGAATTCTGATTTGAAAATATTCAAACCTCGGTTGCTCGGTAACCGCTGAGCAAATTGCATTGAAATTTTCAGCATTTATAGCTCTTATTAATCTCTGAATAGCCTGTAATTCACAATATTCCCAGATTTATAGTTTTTTAGCAAATTGAATTTGAAGTTTTTGACAAAATTTGAACTAAAAGTCAATTTTGAGGCTCAATTGCTCCAAAACTATTTGAGCTATCAAACTCAATTTTGCACTGATTTATAGAGAATTTAATGCTCTTTCCAATGGTATATAATTTATTTCAAGTTGCTCGAAATTTAACAAAGATATGGCAATTGCTCATGACCGTGTCAAGATTTCGAAAGTTTTCCAGAGTCAAAAATAGGATTTCTCTTTTAATTTTGTTTCTACTTGAAATGGCCATTTGGAAATGATGTTAGGGTTGTTTCCCACTAACTTTGACCCGCTCTATCCATTGGTAAAATCAAAATTGAGCAAAACTGCAAAATGAAAAAATCGATTTTTTCATAAGGGTACCTACCCCTTTGAATTCTGATTTCAAAAGATTCAAACCTCGGTTGCTCGGTAACCGCTGAGCAAATTGCATTGAAATTTTCAGCATTTATAGCTCTTATTAATCTCTGAATAGCCTGTAATTTACAATAGTCCCAGATTTATAGTTTTTTAGCAAATTGAATTTGAAGTTTTTGACAAAATTTGAACTAAAAGTCAATTTTGAGGCTCAATTGCTCCAAAACTATTTGAGCTATCAAACTCAATTTTGCACTGATTTATAGAGAATTTAATGCTCTTTCCAATGGTATATAATTTATTTCAAGTTGCTCGAAATTTAACAAAGATATGGCAATTGCTCATGACCGTGTCAAGATTTCGAAAGTTTTCCAGAGTCAAAAATAGGATTTCTCTTTTAATTTTGTTTCTACTTGAAATGGCCATTTGGAAATGATGTTAGGGTTGTTTCCTACTAACTTTGACCCGCCATATCCATTGATAAAGTCAAAATTGAGCAAAACTGCAAAATGAAAAAATCGATTTTTTCATAAGGGTACCTACTACCCCTTTGAATTCTGATTTCAAAATATTCAAACCTCGGTTGCTCGGTAACCGCTGAGCAAATTGCATTGAAATTTTCAGCATTTGTAGCTCTTATTAATCTCTGAATAGCCTATAATTTACAATCTTTTCAGGCTTATAGTTTTTTAGCAAATTGAATTTGAAGTTTTTGACAAAATTTGGACTAAAAGTCAATTTGGAGGCTCAATTACTCCAAAACTATTTGAGCTATCAAACTCAGTTTTACACTGATTTATAAAGAATTTAATGCTCTTTCCAATGGTATATAATTTATTTCAATTTGCTCGAAATTTAACAAAGATATGGCAATTGCTCATGACCGTGTCAAGATTTCGAAAGTTTTCCAGAGTCAAAAATAGGATTTCTCTTTTAATTTTGTTTCTACTTGAAATGGCCATTTGGAAATGATGTTAGGGTTGTTTCCCACTAACTTTGACCCGCTCTATCCATTGGTAAAATCAAAATTGAGCAAAACTGCAAAATGAAAAAATCGATTTTTTCATAAGGGTACCTACCTCTTTGAATTCTGATTTCCAAATATTCAAACCTCGGTTGCTCGGCAACCGTTGAGCAAATTGCATTGAAATTTTCAGCATTTATAGCTCTTATTAATCTCTGAATAGCCTGTAATTTACAATATTCCCAGATTTATAGTTTTTTAGCAAATTGAATTTGAAGTTTTGGACAAAATTTGAACTAAGAGTCATTTTTGAGGCTCAATTGCTCCAAAACTATTTGAGCTATCAAACTCAATTTTGCACTGATTTATAGAGAATTTAATGCTCTTTCCAATGGTATATAATTTATTTCAAGTTGCTCGAAATTTAACAAAGATATGGCAATTGCTCATGACCGTGTCAAGATTTCGAACGTTTTCCAGAGTCAAAAATAGGATTTCTCTTTTAATTTTGTTTCTACTTGAAATGGCCATTTGGAAATGATGTTAGGGTTGTTTCCCACTAACTTTGACCCGCTCTATCCATTGGTAAAGTCAAAATTGAGTTTAACTGCAAAATGAAAAAATCGATTTTTTCATAAGGGTACCTACCCCTTTGAATTCTGATTTCAAAAGATTCAAACCTCGGTTGCTCGGTAACCGTTGAGCAAATTGCATTGAAATTTTCAGCATTTATAGCTCTTATTAATCTCTGAATAGCCTGTAATTTACAATATTCCCAGATTTATAATTTTTTAGCAAATTGAATTTGAAGTTTTTGACAAAATTTGAACTAAAAGTCAATTTTGAGGCTCAATTGCTCCAAAACTATTTGAGCTATCAAACTCAATTTTGCACTGATTTATAGAGAATTTAATGCTCTTTCCAACGCTATATAATTTAATTCAATTTGCTCAAAATTTACTAAAGATATGGCAATTGCTCATGACCGTGTCAAGATTTTGAAAGTTTTCCAGAGTCAAAAATAGGATTTCCCTTTTAATTTTGTTTCTGCTTGAAATGGCCATTTGGAAATTATGTCAGGTATTATTTTCTGCTAATTTGGACTCGCTCTATCGATTAATAAAGTCAAAATTGAGCAAAACTGAAAAATAAAAAAATCGAATTTTTCATAAAGGTACCTACCCCTTTGAATTCTAATTTCAAAATATTTAAACCTTAATTACTTGGTAAGCATTGAGCAAATTGCATTGAAGTTTATTAAGGTCTATAAATGGTCTGTGATTTACAATATTCTTAGATTTGTAGTTTTTGAGCAAATTGAGTCTGAAGTTTTTGACAAAATTTGGACTAAATGTCAAATTGGAGGCTCAATTGCTCAAAAACGACTTGAGCTATTAAACTCATTTTTGCACGGATTTATAGAGAATTTAATGCTCTTTCCAACTCCATTTTGCTCTAATGGTTGGTAAAATCAATATTCTGGGTGGCAAGTTTGTGGAGATGATGAGATGAAGCAGAAGCAACTCTATTTATAGATATTTTTGTTGCATCAGCAACTGATTTGTCTTTAGCCGATTTTCTATTTGCAAAGTAAACTCTGAGTCTAGAATTTCTCAATATGGATATTGGAAAATTTGGTCTCGTTTTATTGTAACTTTTTCACAGCAGCAATTCATATTGTCAACTTTTTAAAGTGTGACAATTTCTCGACTTTCTCTATCTTGTAGTTCTTGCATCTTTGGTGTATTTGCTTGAAAAAAAACTTGGAAAACCTAGAAAAATAATCATCCACTTAATCAGAGGTCTCATTTAATTGGATTCCGACTCCTGTGGGGATTCGTTTCGCTTAAATCACAGTCGGTCCTGCAACAGGTCGACACGTTTTTACCCTTCATTTAATTATTTACTTAACAAATTATAATTAACATATTTGCGCCATAATAATTAATCCACCCAAGAGAATTTAAAATTAATTAATTCATGCCTCGCCTCATATATTATCATAAAAAATCTGCTTATCATTAATTTCTGGATATTTATTTGATGAAATATTTTACATAGGATAATGATTTTACACCTGTAAAATGATCATCATTGCTTCATTAATAATGTCCATTGGTTTTGGTTTCTCAATTTGAATGTCATACTAATCAGAAATATTCTTACAAAGGTGGTGTACATCTTTACAAGCACCAAAACTCTCAGAACACCATCGAACCTTCTGGTAATCAACCTGGCATTTTCCGACTTCCTAATGATGCTCACCATGTCGCCTCCAATGGTCATCAATTGCTACTACGAAACATGGGTTCTCGGTAAGACAATTTACAATCAAAAATTTTCCAAACACAGAGCTCATTCTAGGTCCATTCTTTTGTGAACTTTACGGCATGTTCGGTTCACTATTCGGCTGCGGATCCATATGGACAATGGTATTTATCGCGATGGATCGTTACAATGTAATCGTAAAAGGACTGAGTGCGACCCCTCTGAATAAAAAAACCGCCTTTTTAAGAATCTTCATTATTTGGACAATGTCGGTTGGCTGGACAATTGCACCGCTTTTTGGCTGGAACAGGTCAGAGTTTCAATTTCCAAGAAATAAGTTACTGAAGATTGTTTTTTTTTTTAGGTATGTGCCTGAAGGAAATATGACCGCATGCGGCACTGATTATCTCAGCAGGGACATCGTCAGTATGAGTTACATTTACGCTTATTCAGTATTTGTTTATTTCTTGCCTTTGTTGATGATCATTTATTCTTATTGGTTCATTGTTCAGGCTGTTTGTGCCCACGAAAAAAACATGCGGGAACAAGCGAAAAAGATGAACGTCGCCTCTTTGAGATCGGCGGAGGCCAGTCAGACCAGCGCCGAATGCAAACTGGCCAAAATCGCCTTGATGACCATCTCCTTGTGGTTCATGGCATGGACTCCTTACCTGGTCACGAACTGGGCTGGAATACTGGGAAATTCAAAAATTACACCTTTGGCGACAATTTGGTGTTCGTTGTTCGCCAAAGCTAACGCTGTATACAATCCGATTGTCTATGGAATCAGGTAGGTACCTATATGATTGTGTGTATGAAGTGTAAATAATTTTTGTTGAATTCTAGTCATCCAAAGTACCGTCAAGCTTTACAAAAGAAGTTCCCGTCTTTGGTGTGCAACCCTGCACCTGCTGATGATACGACATCTCAAGTTTCGGCAGTCACCAATGTGACAGCGGACGACAAAGCGTAAATTGTCTGTTGAAATAGATACGTGCATTTTTTTAAAATAATAAACCCTGCAAAAAGAATTACAATTTGTTTATCATTGTTTTAGGCTCATATTATTCCAGAAAAATTATAGTGATAGGATGGAGCATTGAATTCTCTATAAATCCGTGCAAAATTGAGTTTGATACCTCGAAGAGTTTTTGAGCAATTGAGCCTCCAAGTTGACTTTTGGTCCAAATTTTGTCAAAGATTTTAAATTCAATTTGCTCAAAAAGTATAAATCTGGGAATATTGTAAATTACAGGCCATTTAGAGCTTAATAAAAGCTACAAATGCTGATAATTTCAATGCAATTTGCTCAATGGTTACCGAGCAATTAAGGTTTAAATATTTTGAAATTAAAATTCATGAAAAATTCGATTTTTTTATTTTTTAGTTTTGCTCAATTTTGACTTTATTAATCGATAGAGCGAGTCCAAATTAGTAGAAAACAATACCTGACATAATTTCCAAATGGTCATTTCAAGCAGAAACAAAATTAAAAGGGAAATCCTATTTTTGGCTCTGGAAAACTTTCAAAATCTTGACACGGTCATGAGCATTTGCCATATCTTTAGTAAATTTTGAGCAAATTGAATTAAATTATATACCATTGGAAAGAGCATTAAATTCTCTATAATTCCGTGCAAAATTGAGTTTAATAGCTCAAGTCGTTTTTGAGCAATTGAGCCTCCAATTTGACATTTAGTCCAAATTTTGTCAAAAACTTCAGACTCAATTTGCTCAAAAACTACAAATCTAAGAATATTGTAAATCACAGACCATTTAGACCTTAATAAGAGCTACAAATGCTGAAAATTTCAATGCAATTTGCTCAATGCTTACCGAGTAATTAAGGTTTAAATATGTTGAAATTAGAATTCAAAGGAGGTACCTTTATGAAAAAATCGATTTTTTCATTTTGCAGTTTTGCTCAATTTTGACTTTACCAATGGATAGAGCGCGTCAAAGTTAGTGGGAAACAACCCCAACATCATTTCCAAATGGCCATTTCGAGTAGAAATAAAATTAAAAGAGAAATCCTATTTTTGACTCTGGAAAACTTTCGAAATCTTGACACGGTCATGAGCAATTGCCATATCTTTGTTAAATTTTGAGCAAATTGAAATAAATTATATACCATTGGAAAGAGCATTAAATTCTCTATAAATCCGTGCAAAATTGAGTTTGATAGCTCAAATAGTTTTGGAGCAATTGAGCCTCAAAATTGACTTTTAGTCCAAATTTTGTCAAAAACTTCAAATTCAATTTGCTAAAAAACTATAAATCTGGAAATATTATAAATTACAGGCTATTCAGAGATTAATAAGAGCTACAAATGCTGAAAATTTCAATGCAATTTGCTCAACGGTTACCGAGCAACCGAGGTTTGAATATTTTGAAATCAGAATTCAAAGGGGTAGAATCGATTTTTCATTTTGCAGTTTTGCTCAATTTTGACTTTACCAATGGATAGAGCGGGTCAAAGTTAGTGGGAAACAACCCTAACATCATTTCCAAATGGCCATTTCAAGTAGAAACAAAATTAAAAGAGAAATCCTATTTTTGACTCTGGAAAACTTTCGAAATCTTGACACGGTCATGAGCAATTGCCATATCTTTGTTAAATTTCGAGCAAATTGAAATAAGTTATATACCATTGGAAAGAGCATTAAATTCTCTATAAATCCGTGCAAAATTGAGTTTGATAGCTCAAGTCTTTTTTGAGCAATTGAGCCTCCAAGTTGACTTTTAGTCCAAATTTTGTCAAAAACTTCAAATTCAATTTGCTCAAAAACTACAAATCTGAGAATATTGTAAATCACAGGCCATTTGGAGCTTCATAAGAGCTATAAATGCTGATGGTTTCAATGCAATTTGCTCAACGATAACCGAGCAATTGAGGTTTGAAGATTTTGAAATTAAAATTCAAAGGGGATACGAGAATGAACTGATCTGTGCGTCTATTCTCGAAACTGGGGAACAGCCTTCTCATGAGAACGATTGTTCTGTCTTTGTCAGTGTTATGGAATTATGAATATGGGCGAAGAAGACATAATCTTCGTTCTCATGAGAACGCTGGTCTCCTGTTTCGAGTTTTTTATTACACGAGAGAAAAGAAAGATATAACGTAGAGAGACGGAAAAAGACAGCCAATGCCAGTAAACGAACGATTGACACAAACCAAGGATTATAAGCAAGGAGGAATGCCTATTATTGTCAAGCGCCGATACCCTTGTGACGTCCCTACAGATGCTTGTCTCCTTTTTGTGTGGTTCTTCCTAGTCCTCACAACGGTCCACGACTCATACGTTAACCCGGGAGTACACGCGTGTCGGTCGAAAAGACAAGGGTGGCAGTTTTGTCCATCCAAGAATGCCTGATGGAAGTTTTCTACTACTCATTGGCCCAAAAATATTTTAGTTTTTCGTTGAAGCTTTTGCAAGTATTACATTCAAAAGGATAGATATTCAAATATGTTTGTTTGAGATTCTTCAAAACGTCTTTTCGTTCAAATTTTGCTTTGCAAGTGTCATATTCAAAAAGAAAAATATCCGAGTGTGTTACTTGGGTGACTCTTTAAGTCGAGTTTTGGTTTAAATTTGGCATTGCAAGTGTCATATTCAAAAGGATAGATATCCAAATGTGTTATATTCATTTCGTGTCCCTATTATCAATAATTATGGTAAAAATTTCCTGGGGTTTAAGGACGGGGAGGTAAACCAAAAGAAACTACTTAGCTTTCGGCCGAAATTTCTACCACAAATGTGTTAGTTTGTGATTCTTCAATTCGGCTTCTCATATAAATTTTGCTTTGCAAGTGTCACATTCAAAAGGAAAAATATCCGAGTGTATCAGTTGGTGATTCTTCAAGTCGAGTTTTCATTTAAATTTTGCTTTGCAAGTGTTACATTCAAAAGAATAAATATCCGAGTGTGTCAGTTTGTGACTTTTCAATTCGCTTGTTTTCATAGTCGGTGCTTCAGGCACGTGAACCTGAGTATCTGAAATATTTGTGTGCAAAATTGGTCTTTTCTGATATTGGGAGTACCTTTGGTTGTCGATAATACGGTAACTGTACTGCATAATATAATTCCCTTTGTAATGATTATGAATTCTAGGAATTATAGTGCTTGCACACTTTTTTCGCGAAAACGATCCCATTCCCAAATGTATGCTGAACGCTAAGGCATGACTCATGCAGGTAATGTCGGAGATTTTTATGTCTCTATTGATTAGTAAACCTGCGTAGGTCATGCCTTAGGGTTCAGGATACGTTTGGGATCGTTTCCGCGAAAAAAGCTAAAAATTCATATAAACTTTTGGGCAGTCGATTTGACCGAACGCGTGTAATGACGTAAGTTTTTTGACGCGTGTAATGACGGGTTAAAGTCTTAAAATTGTATTCTATTCCAACGCTCTCAATTTTCTACTTTAGATGAAAGTGGGGCGGCGAAAATTGTCTAGGCACACAGGCGGCTAACATCTTAGTGGCAGCCCTGATGATATTAGGCAATGCGGTACTTCAGACAGCCCCCACTCTTCTTTTTCATGTTGAGTTCCTCATCCCCTTCACAGCGATCAGTTTCCTGGATCCTGCTGGCCAATCATTGAGCGTTGTACAATGGACGACAATCAAAATGTCTTTCGATTGGCCTTTGGATACCTACTCGTAGGCATAATAAGTTTATTTTCTGTGTCTCAGGAACATCAAATCAAAGCCAGTGAAAAAAAAATACAGAGAAATCTATCAGCAAAATCAAATCCAGTGCATTTGTGCAATGCATAAAATTAAATCCTTTCCATTTTCCAACACAAAATCCGTTGCCGGCCTAAACCAATTAATTCGACGTTATTTAAAACGCCGTGAAACCCAACACGCTATGCCAATAATCGGCGTTTTGTAACAAATCCAAATCCGGATTAAAGTAATTCGAAATAAAACTTGCACGACAAATCCGAACAAATCCAGTTCGGTCACGGTAGACCGCCGGGATTGATAATGAACATCCGACCGAATTGATTGAAGACTCCTTGGACAAAATGGGTCTGGAAAATTCTCCGAATTTTGCGGCATGGGAGAAACAACGACCCACTAGTTTTGGAGGTACAATCCGGGTGAAACCAAATTGTTATTTTTCTGATAATTTCTTCTAGGTAATCTTACGGTTGTTGACACGATTCTTCCGGATATGCTGCACCTGGTCGACACTTATTGGTACCAATACGCACCCTTAGATCCATTTTGGCACCGCGTTCTGGCACTCGTTATTGCAATTTTGGGTTTTATATCTATAACAGGCAATTCTATGGTAAGTTTTGTGTGTTTGCTTGTTAAAAAGCTTCAATTTGTTTCGACTTGAGGTGATCTACATTTTTATAACGACAAAATCATTGAGAACGCCTTCAAACATGTTGGTGGTCAACTTGGCCCTTTCGGATTTCTTACTCATGGTCACAATGGCACCAGTGATGGTATTCAATTGTTATTTTGAGACTTGGGTTTTAGGTATAAAATAAAAACATCAATAGTTAATTTTTGGCTAATAATTCCTTGTAGGTCCGGCGTTTTGTCAAGTTTACGGCATGTTGGGTTCGCTGTTTGGTTGCGGCTCTATTTGGACCATGACGTTTATTGCCATGGACCGTTACAATGTCATAGTTAACGGTCTGAGTGCCGTTCCTTTGACCAAAAAATCGGTGGCGGTTCATATAATGGCGATTTGGGGTATGTCTTTGGTATGGACTTTGGCGCCGTTTTTTGGATGGAACAGGTACGATTTTTTTTAATTGGAATTGTTAACGCAATCGAGATTTAGTTATTCCCATGAAATGGATCAACTGAGAAGAATAAAAGTCCTATTCCAGGCTCTCCTAGAGTAGTGCAATCTGATTTCAGACCATCTTACAGTATTTGTGAAGCTGAAATTGAAGTAGAAGAGCATGAAAATTTGATTCCTGGCACTTCTCACTGAAAAAAAAAGTACAGATAACATTGGTTTAATGAATCAATTTTTCAATTTCATGTATCCGGTTTCATGAATAAATTATCCTAGGCTCAGTTGCATGAACAAGAATATTCATGGGTTCAAGTTAACCGGAGCTGAGCTGTGATTAGACCCTCTTTATTAGATATGTTGAATCATCATCATCATCATAAACCACTGTGAACGCGCCCCAGTGGTTCACTATACGGAAATATAGTAAAAATTCGTAACTATGGAAATGACGGTAAAAGTAATAACCTTCGTAATAACCTAAGAGCAGGTAAAGGTAAAGAGGAGTAGTAACATGGAGTTGGAAAATGAAGCCGTTTTTTTCCAGGTATTTTGGCACCAAAAAAATGGCGGTATAGGCAATTCAATGCTTTACCTGTATTGTGGTGCCAAACACCTGCCAAAAACTTGGTTTCACTTTAGTTTCATAAGCAGAATGGCGCGTTCCTACTCCTTATGTCCGTAGGACAGCGCTTTACCTCCTCTAAGGTAATAACCAATAATCGAGGAAAGCAAATGTTGTGAACGATTTTAAGGTCAGTTTTCATAGAGTGAGAAAATAAGGAAATGCGTAGAGAGGCAGTGTAACTCCATAGTTTATACGTTGGGAATCATAGATGAACTTTCTTCAATCACTGTGAATCGAACCTACAACAAGGAACACTCCCATGTTGCCCTTCCTAATACCTCAGGTAGCGTGGGGCGAAATTACTGGAATTTATTTTGGTTTAGTTTTGGATCGAAAATACCTATCTTTTTCGTCTTTAATTTATCATGGGGCGAAAATACCAACAACCGTGATAAATTTACCTGTACCTGTGGACCTGGATTGTGAATAGGATATACACAATCAGTTCCTCGGGTTCTGCCTATACCAGTACTAAATCCGCTTGAAGAGGAACTTAAAAGAATACAAGACCTCGATATAATAAAGCCCGTAGATTATCCAACTCCTTGGGTCAGTCGAATTGTGATAGTTAAGAAAAATGAAAAAATTCGTCTGTATGTCGGGTACACAAAGCTTAATAAAGCGGTTTTACATAGACTTTGGTTTTACGGTCTCATTTTCCTATGGTCCAAGTCGAAAGGATACTTGCTCAAGTCTCAGGTTCTAAATTCGGGGTTTTATCAAATAAAACTTTTAAAAAAATGCCAACATTTGACATGCTTTATTACCCCTTTTGGTCGCTATATCTTTAAATGATTACCCTTTGGAATTACGTGCGCACCAGAATATTTTTCATTATTATTAAATAAAATTCTAAGTGGTTTAGGAGTTATTTTTCATATAGACGATATTCTTATTCATTCACCTACCATAGAAAAACATTGAAATCCTTTTCGAAGTTTTAAGGCGCATTCACGCTGAAGGTATCAGAAAAGTGTTTTTTCGGAGTTCATTCTCTAAAATTCTTAGGTCATTCAATATCAAACATGGGTATATCTATAAATCCAGAAAGGATACAAGCAATTATCAATTTTCCAGAACCCCGCGATAAAAATGAACTTTCAAGATTTCTAGGAATGGTGAATTTGTCAAGCCGCTTTATCCCTGATCGGTCCCAAGTTTTCGAACCTTTAACATCCTTGGTAAAGAAAAATGTTGGGTATTGTTGGGATTCACCATAAAAACGTAGTTTTTCTAAAATAAAAGACCTTCTACAAAGAAGTCCTTGTTTAGAGTATTTTGATCATTCGAAAACTGTATCTAGTAGTGTCCGTAGATGCTTCATCTTTTGGATTAGGTGCTTGCCTTTTTCAGAAGGATAAAAGAAAATAGTTGGTTACGCCTCTAGCGGAAAATTCTTGCGCTAACATGGACTTGCGAAAAATTTTCAGAATATATTTCTGGAATAAAAATTTTAATCGAGACAGACCACAAGCCGTTATAGACTGTGAGATAGGGGCTGTTTAGTGGAGTCATTTTTTTTTGTCTGGCATTTTGAGGGCTGAATGTGGCTACTAAGCTGATGAGACTATGGGTGATTTTAATGCCGGCCTCCCGTTCGAAAATTTGCAGAAGAAAAAAATTGATTTACATAAAGAATTTTTTTTAATGATCTCAAATTTTCTAGCTTTTAAATAAAAGATTGACATTGATAAATAATTCACCCATGAAAATTATCAGATGCTTTTCAATAGCTGAAAAAATGAGGTTAGGTGTCAACTTCCAAGAGAAAAGAAAAGAACCTTCCACGTTTACTTTTTGTCTGGCAATCGAGAGAATGAAAGGTTTTGTTGTGTAAATAACGCCAGACGGTAATCACAGTTCGAAATCGAGTTTTCCGGCGAAACATTCTGTGGACTTTTCGAACAGGGGGCAGGCATTAAAACCACTTATATTCTCATCAGCTAACTAGTCACATTCATCCCTCAAAATGCCAGACAAAAAAAAATGACTCCATTAAACAGGCCCTATCTCAGGGTCTATTAGTGAAAGTACTCCAAAATAAACCTATCGATGATCTAACTCTCTGGTTACAAAGACTCCGATTAAGGGCAGGTTTCTCAATAGCAAGTTACCTCCGGGTTAATTTTAACTACAGGGTAAGCGTGTCAAGTTGCTATGTTTACCCTGGAGTTATGCTTAACCTGGAGGTGACTCGCTATTGAGAAACCGGCCCTAAGACTCATGCGTTAGATAGACATCACAGTAAACATAATTTTGTGTCGCCAACATCTAGGAAAACGATCCAACACCGGTGTGCATCAAAACATTCTGCCGCCCAATCTAGCCATATTCCGGAAATCTGACCAATCAAATTCGATGTAGCTATTTCGAGCGGCATAATGTTACTACATGGGCTAGATCAGGGGTCAGAATGTCGGGACGGCGTGTTGTACTTGTCCGTTACAAGTGCCGCATGTTCTGTTTATTTCCCGCTCATTGTTCCATTGAAATTTATGCGAAGACATTTCAATATTTATTTATGATGGAGATGGATGCGATAAATAACTACCCACAACGTTTGTTTATTCTAATGTGAGTGAAAACACTTATCGTGCATGTGCAAACTTATTATCCGAAAACAAGATTATTTTCAAAAAGCATCTCCGAATACTCCAAGCTATAGTGTCGGATCAAAGTATTTAATGACTCAACTAGCTTTTGAAGAGAATATCCAGTCGAAAGATTTTTATATGCCTTTTGCAGTTGCAAATAAAAAATATGACTGATATGTGGATCAAGGTCCTGAAAATTTTACTACTGTTAACTTAAATAATAGTTTAATATCGGATGATAATATTGAAAATCGCCAACCATTAAGTGACCTTCAACAATAGGAGAACACTAGTGAAGATTTTTTTGCCTCACTTATCAATTTGATGAAGAAAAATCATACATAATTTGGCACTACTGCCCAAAGTTCTAGAAGATTTATCTCAAGACTTGGTTCAATTAAAACAAAAAATGCATAGAAAACATTTTTAAATACAGCTGGAAGAAAATTGTAGAAATACGTGTAGTCTTTTCCTATTTCTTAATTCCTCCCTTGGAATTTTCAAAAAAAAAAATATTCATGAAAAAAATCCATAGGGAGCACAAATATAGCTATTTTCCTAACGAGTGCGGGAAATTTCTTCCCGCAAGAGTTAGGAAATATATTTTTTCTACGAGCGTACTAAAGCTGATCTTACGAGAAGTTTAATTTAAATAAAATGCGATTGTGCAGAAGGTAGAATTAAACATGTATTAACAGGTATTTATAAAAAGGTAAAGGTACAGGTATAGGTGTATCAACAATACAAACAATTCCATGTCACTAGAAAAAAATATAAATTTCTGAATTGTATAACACGTACAAAAGACAGTTATAGATTTTTTAACATCAAACATTGTTTGTTAAGTTTAATACTTATGCTCTATCGCCTGTAACATTCTAACTTTGAATCTAACCCATACAATAACATTCTGACCCTTTAAATAGCGCCATTATCGTCCCGACATTCTGACCCCTGATGCAGCGCATGTAGTAAAATCTGTTTTTTTTTTTAAGATAAAAGTCAAAATGACATTATGTTGGCAATACAATGTAAAATTGTCAATGCTTTCAAATTTTTTATGTAGAAAAGGCTTGTGTTACCAACAAAGTTACTAAATTTTTGACTTGGGGAATTATCTTTAAAAAAAAAAACAGACTTTAACATTATGCCATCCAAAATAGCCACATTGAATTTGATTGGTCAGGTTTCCGGGCTATGGCTAGATTGGGTGGCAGAATGTTTTGATGCCACCGGTGTATCCCCTCCAATTTGGTTGCCAAATTGTTAGGGATTGATATTTTATCCTGTTATGACTTTGCTTCAGAGGGTTGGAGCTTCAAGACTAAAAACGAATACTGGCAACGCCAGCTTGTAAAACAAGCGGAACACACGCTGTAATCGAATGGCATGTCAACGAGTCTATCGAACTTATTACATATGAGTTAGAGGCAGATAGATAGATAAACGAGTTGCACCCTTGGGATTTCTTCATTATTTTTGTCAAGTGAATGACGGGTTCAGAAGGGAAGGCGGGTGTTGTTTACGACACCGATGACCCCCCTCGAGCAGCTCACTTCTTCTGGCCCATGGGGGATCTTGTCATCACAACAATCCTAATTCCGAGCTCCTTACAGCAAAAAATTTTGAAATTCATACCTACATCAAAGTCACCAAGGAATAGTAATAGTCCAGGAGGCAGTGAAATATTTTAGCACTTTATTTTCCCAGTCTATCAAATAGTTTGTTCTCCTGGTCAGAGACGCCGACTTTTGAAAGTCCTCATGGGTGTATAATAACTTTATAAATTTGATCATAGGGGAAGGGTGAAGCTCGCCGTAGGGGCCGCCGGAGGCGAAAAATTTTCTCTACGAGCGTGCGAGAAGTGCTTTTTTCTGCACGCATTTAGGCACTAGTGCGGAAAAGTAAAATAATTATGCAATTTTAAGTAACCCTGGTACTTTCATGTCTTGACATGCGTGCGGAAAAGTACTTCTCCGCACGGTCGTAAAAAAAATAACGTTCCTTAATCACGCGGAAAATCTCTTTTCCTCATTTAATTGCTACGCACATGCCCTAACTGACGTTTTGTTTCATTTTAGCCGCCTCTGTCAACTGTCAGACTGTCACTGTCAACTAATGAACTATTATGATAACAGTTCCGATATATCGAAAAGATTATTAGGTGTATTGATATTTTTTTCGATATATCGAATGTAAAATATCGATTAAAATATGTCGATATAGTTTATTATTATTATTATTATTATTATTTTTGGGGTTTGGTTAGCTTTGCACATAGTGCATATACAGCCACTACAATTAACTTAATATAATATTTATGTAAACTATGATGTATGTATTTATGTGTTACAAATAAAAATTATTAGGCAATCTCATGACCTGCCAAACGAAATTCAATATGCTTTTCACAGCTATCAGACCACATACCCACCTCTACCACGTAAAACCCCCCTCCAGCACAGCCATCATACCACTACCCACCTCCACTGCAAACCCCCTTCCGGCCCTTCCGTGAAGCTCCTACCCTAAAATCCCCCCACTATGAGCCCCAAACAAGATGGCCGCCATAGCAATATAATGTGTCCATCATCGCTGCTATAATAACGGATTTTAATCTGAAATTTTGGGAATTTGACCCGGGCCAACCGTGGGAAGTTTTTCAATATCGTGAGAAAATCGGCGCCTTTGATCTGAAATTTTGGGAATTTGACCCGGGCCAACCCCAAAATTTGTGAATCTATATCTATCGAAAAAGTTCCCACGGTTGGCTCGGTTAGCCACAGATTAAAATCCGTTATATGGCGATGATGGACACATTATATTGCTATGGCGGCCATCTTGTTTGGGGCTCATGGTGGGAGGATTTTAGGGTAGGAGCTTTACGGAAGGGAGTTTGGAGTTTGCAGTGGAGGTAGATAGTGGTATGATGGCTGTGCTGGAAGGGGTTTTACGTGGTAGAGGTGGGTATGCGGTCTGATAACTGTGGAAACACTCTACTCACCATGTTGTTTACATGGTTATTGACCGAAATCAATGAATAGTATATTACATACCGAGTAGGGAAGTGTTTCATTACTGATTGACTACCGAGATTGACTATTAATCTCGAGACAGAAATGAAAACTTTCCTCCGAGGTTTGTATACTATTTTATTTGCAAGCACACCATTATTTCGGATTAGTCATTTAATTTTTTTAATATTAAAAAAATAAAACAAACATGCCAAAATGTGTCATTCACTGTTTTGAAGTTTTTACCTGACATATTCTCATTGTTGCCTGTTGCCTGCAAAGGTGAATGAATTAGAGTGAGGGAAATCGGTGAGGGAAGTCGAATCGGGAAATCGGTGAGGGAAATAGAAGAGGGAAGTGACACAGGTAAAATGACACTTCCAAATTTTTAAAAAGTCAGTAATGTCAAGATTACATACATGGATGCAAATAATAGTTATTTATACACCAAGTGAGTTAAATGAATGTTTATTCATGAGAAGAAAGTTTAACCCACGAGCCCTAGCGAGTGGGTTAATTTTCTTCGAATGAATAAACATTTTAACTCACGTGATGTATACAAAATTTTATCCCATTTTGTAGAAATTTAGAAAATAAAGAACAAGGAAAAATGCCGGGAGTGAGTTAAAAATATTTTATCCCATTTTGACGTTTAAAAATAACATTGTTGAACGCATAATGACAAAGGTAAGTAGACGTTTATCACCTGAGTGACTTAAAATATTTTTAACTCACTCTGCTCGGTCTTGTAAGTCACTCTGCCAGTATAAAAATCTGCTACAAATACAAACAAACAACTAGTTATACCTTAGCAACCACCAATTTCAATAATTAGCGCTTTCATAACTACTAAATGAATTCTTTCTATAATTTGATTCCTTACTTTTTAAATGTCCATCAAAATGGGATAAAATTTTGTATAAATCACGTGAGTTAAAATGTTTATTCATTCGAAGAAAATTAACCCACTCGCTAGGGCTCGTGGGTTAAACTTTCTTCTCATGAATAAACATTCATTTAACTCACTTGGTGTATAAATAACTATTAAATCACTAAAGTGTCCGAGTTTTATTTGGGCGGAGTGATTTAAAATGCCGAGAGTGAGTTAAAAAATCTTTAAATCACTGAGGTCATAAACGTCTACTTACCTTCATTGTTCTGCGTTCAATAATGTCATTTTTAAACATCAAAATGGGATAATAGTTATTTATACACCAAGTGAGTTAAATGAATTTTTATTCATGAGAAGAAAGTTTAACCCACGAGCCCTAGCGAGTGGGTTAATTTTCTTCGAATGAATAAACATTTTAACTCACGTGATGTATACAAAATTGTATCCCATTTTGTGAAAATTTCAAAAATAAAGTAGAGGAAAAATGCTGGGAGTGAGTTAAAAATATTTTAAATCACTGAGGTTTCATATTTTTAGTTGGGCAGAGTGACTTAAAATGCCAAGAGTGAGTTAAAATGTTTTTAAATCACTGAGGTGATAAACGTCTACTTACCTTTATTATTATGCGTTCCATAATGTCATTTTTAAACGTCAAAATGGAATAAAAAATATTATTTTGTCACATTCTGGACATTTAGGTTTGACATTGGCATTGTCATGTTTGGTATCTACAACAATAAGGGCCCTGAACAAAAATGCTTTTTTTTATGAACATCACCACAATTTGACCTGAACGGCCATATTGGAATAGCTTGCCTAATATAATAGACCTATCTATTTTTACCTGGTATGCGCGCGCAACACGAGGCAATGTCTTGTTATTGGCTGGCTAATACAGGTGTGAGGTGATCTTTTTGCACGCTGGGCATCTTTTTATCCTTGTTCATTGCACGTGGTCTGACAAGAATAAATCTAAAGTGGATATTCAACTTGACAAGTGTCATTCAAAAGTTGTTTGACATTTTCATTGACAAATACGTTGCACAACACGCGGTTTTTCCTCTTTCCTTTTTATCCTGTGCAAATAAGAAGGACGGATTGCTATACGTAAGTCTAACATAATTTGGTACGTTTTGCCTCGTCTTGCGCAATGAGCGTTCTGTGTCTTTTTTTATTTAATGAAGTTTTCGTATTATCACCTCTTTGTCTGGTAAAATAGATAGGTCTATTGTCTAAAATAAAAATGAAGATTCTTGAATTTTTTTTATCAAAACATAAAAGACAGACTCACTTCACGCCATAGGGTCTATCTAGGCGACTTTATTTACACAAACAGGGGTACAAATTCTTAAACAAAGCTGTGTACATTTAAATTACATGATACTGGATATTACCGCATGGAACGGAATGAGCATTAAACACGTTTGTACTTCCGTACTTCCCACGAGAGCTCCCATGGGTGCTCGGCACCCATGAGAGGTTGATGATGACGATTCCCACATCGTCATCATCCCCGTCCCCTAATAATACGGCCTCCAATACATCCTCCATTTTAAAATATAGGTAGATGAAATAATAAAACAAATTCAACAAAAAATTATAAGAAGAACAACTAGAAGAACATCAAACACGACACACTTTACAATTTTAAGTTAGGAATATGAAAATAAAACATGACATGCCACTGCCAAAGTTCATTACTGTCGACTTCAACGTGTCACAGTCAATTTTGGATCGGTACTAAAGCGGCACAGTCAACTGCGGTCGTATTTCAATAATCCCCTAATGTTATGAACGATTTTTTTTTCAGTGTACAGGGTGTCCAAGATTCGATGGTTTTTGGGGGGTTTCAGGTATTTCTAAAGGAGTTGGAAAAGATCTGATTCCTACTTGCGAGCCTCGATTTTCAAGAGAAATTGACTGGTGAAAACCGCATCTCGATATCTCGAATCGAGGGATTTTTGAAAAGTTTGGAGTTTGGCAGGGGGTCTATAACTTTTTGTAGCTTAAAAATGAATCAAAATATCGAGATGCAGGTTACACTAGCCAACTTCTCTTGAAAATCGAGGCTCGCAAGCAGATTTTTTCCAACTCCTCTAGAAATACTTGAAACCAGCCAAAACAGTTGAAATTGGAGATGCAACAAACTCTGTTTTTTGAGCATTCCAGAGCAACAGCGGACACAGAGCGATATATTTTATAACCATTTTTTCTTTCAGATACGTTCCAGAAGGAAACATGACAGCCTGTGGCACCGATTATCTTTCCCAAGACCTTTCAAGCGTTAGCTATATAATAGCTTATACAATTTTTGTTTATTGTATGCCTCTATGCATAATAATTTACGCTTACTGGTTCATCGTGAGGGTGAGTCCTTATTCTGACATCAATTCGCCTCACTAAAAACTACTTTTTCAGGCCGTGTCCAACCACGAAAAATCGATGCGAAAGCAAGCGAAAAAAATGAACGTCACCTCGCTGAGGACCGCGGACGCCGACAAACAAAGCGTCGAATTCAAATTGGCCAAAATCACAATGATTACGATCTTTTTGTGGTTCGTTGCCTGGACGCCGTACGCGGTTACTAACATTTCTGGAATCACTGGGAAATCGCAAATATCGCCTCTGGCTACGATTTGGGCTTCGGTTTTCGCTAAGGCCGGCGCCGCCTACAATCCCATCGTTTACGGAATAAGGTAATAAGTCAAAAAGAGAAAAACTATGAAGTTGAATATTGTACTAATATAACCAGAAGTTATCCATTTGTGTGGCAATGGTTGAACTAAGAAAATCCAGCAAAGCAAAATTTACACCTCAATAGTTACAATTATTAGAATCGAAAAAAGTGATTTGCAACACACACTTACACTAATGTAGAACTGCTTTCTATTTCTATTCAATTTTACATAATTTACAGAGCGTATGATACACACATTTCCCCAATAATTCAGACTACATAATCGATTAAATTGAATATAAATTATTTTCCAGTCATCCAAAATACCGACAAGTTTTACACAAGAAAATTCCATGTTTGGGGAGTGCGGCTTCGGCCCCAACAACAGAAGATTCGATATCTCAAGTTTCCGCCTGTACAAACGGTTCCGACAGCAAACCAGCTGCATAAACGAATTGACTACATAAATTATATTATATTGTATTTTAATTAATAAACCCTGCAAGTGCATTTTAAATAAGGCAAATTGCCATATTTACCTGGTCTTTATTCATCCCCTGAGGCTGGAACCCAAATAAATCGCCCCTGTGAAACTCAAACTTTGGCCATTTATTATAGCTGAAAGTTGGAAACTCGTATTTTTCAAAGGATATTAAGCGGTGGTTTTATACCTTGCTTGCGTTAGCAAATAAAATAATTTATGGATTTTCTATTGTTCAATCGAGAATTTATAAGGATATCACCCACATTTTACTATTTTATAAGGCCAACCCGATTCAATGGACAAACAAAATGAATTTGCTCTGCCCCCGCATGTTTTTCAATTCCCTTTCCTCATCAAAACGTATCTGAGGCTAAAAATAACTTGAAACTAGAACTAGTTTCTTTTTCTATCCGTCTATATACCGTATAACAATTTACTAACAAATTGAATTTCGACGCTGCTGATGGGAATTGAAAAATCCTGCTTGCGACTTTATTTAATAAAAACTGAGTTGTTTTATAAGTATATCTGCTGCCAACTCAAATAACAGTATCACAAAGTGTTTTTCCAAGAAAAACCTTATACCTATCTAATTTTCTAAAATACCTAATCCTGCAGCAGAAACATTTCAAATTTAATAAATCATTTGAAATCTTCCTTTCATATTTTGCATCAAGATAAATAATGGCAACTTCTGCCTCTAAAATGAAAATATTCCAAACAACTTCTCACTAAATATAATTTAATATTTTCTCTATGCAGGTAGGCTTGTTTGAGAAGCGAAAAATTCACTTATAATGCAGTAATTTATTTTTATACAGAAGATAAAACTACTTGCGTGTGGGCATAAAACCGTCAGAAAGCAATTATTTCCAAATATATAGGGCCATTAATTTGTACCTACAATTTATGAAGAAGATAAACAGAAGCAACATAAAACAATGGACTTTGTAGATTGGCTATTGGATGGGTAAAAATATGAAGTTTCATCCGAATAATTTCAAAAAATTTCAACAATTATCACTGTGTGTTAATATTTCACGATCCCAAAAGGTCGGAAGCTTTCAATTTAATATTTTCCAGCGAGCACTGCGCATTGCGCCAGCAAAGTCAACAATTAAAATGGGTTTTAAATGGCCCCGGCGAACGATGATAAATTTGTTGATTTTCATTCCCCTGTGAAGTTGAGGTCGCGGTTTTAAAATATGTTAGACATCGACTGAAATCGTTCATAAAGTTTCGAGTGGAAAATGTACATCAAAGTCTTACAAATTGTGGAATTTTCTATGTACTTAAAACTGGAAGTTTTCAGGTGGATTAGTAAATGTATGGTACTGCGATTAGTTTTGGGGTGGATAGTTTTATTCCAGGCTTAGAACTGGACTGGAGAAATATCAAGATCCGATTCCTGGTCACAGCTGAGATTGAGCGGTATAAGGGTCTCATTTCATACCCTTCTGAAGTTGAAATTCGACTGAGGAGCATAAGAATCTTATTCAAGGCTATAGTTTGAGCTATGGCAGTTCAAACAGTAATTTTTGGACTTTGTGGAGTTGAATTTGAAGTATACATTTTATTCCTGGCTCTGCTACTGTTGAAATTGAACTAGAGAAGTATCAAATTCGGCATTAAAGAGTTGGAGATAACGCCCTCATATTGCTAACATTCCACTTAGCATGTACGAATACAAGACTCAAAAGGTACAGTTGAGCTAGAGCGGTTTGAGAAGCTCATAGAGCTAAAATTAATCTGAGATAAATGAAAATCCTGTTTCAGGCTCTCCTAGAGAAGCAAATAAATAAAGCCTTTAAACATTGTAGAAATTTCCTATTTGTAGAGCTTCATGTAGGCCTTTTCTGCCAACGAATCTCTATATTCTATCTTTGTGGAGCTGAATTTGAAGTAAACATTATATTCCTGGCTCTCCTGCTAATGAAATTGAGCTTGAGAAGTATCAAACTTCGATTTCTGAGCATTATAGAGTTGGAGATGACACCCTCATATTGCTAAAATTTAACTTAACATGTAAGAATGCAGGGCTCAAAAGGTACAGTTGAGTTAGAGCGGTTTAAGAAGCTCACAGAGCTACAATTCATCTGAGAAAAATGAAAATCTTGTTCCAGGATCTCGTAGAAGCGAATAAATAAAGCCTCTAAACTTTGTAGAAATTTCCTATTTGTGAAACTTCCTAAAGGCATTTTCTACCCACGAATCTCTAAATTCTATATTTGTGTAGCTGAATTTGAAGAAACTTATATATTCCTGGCTCTCCTACTATTGAAATTGAGTTGGAAAAGTATCAAACTTCGATTTCTGAGCATTATAGAGTTGGAGATGACACACTCATATTGCTAAAATTCAACTTAACATGTACGAATACAGGATTCAAAAAGTACGGTTGAGCTAGAGCGGTTTAAGAAGCTCATAGAGCTACAATTCATCTGAGATAAATGAAAATCTTGTTCCAGGGCCTCCGAATAAATAAAGCCTCTAAACATTGTAGAAATTTGCTATTTGTAAAACTTTCTGAAGGCCTTTTCTACCCACGAATCTCTATATTCTATCTTTGTGTAGTTGAATTTGAAGAAACCTATATATTCCTGGCTCTCCTACTATTGAAATTGAGCTTGAGAAGTATCATGTACGAATACAGGACTCAAAAGGTACAATTGAGCCAGAGCTGTTTGAGAAGCTCATAGAGCTACAATTCATCTGAGAAAAATGAAAATCCTGTTCCAGGCTCTCCTAGAGAAGCAAACAAATAAAGCCTCTAAATATTGTAGAAATTTCCTATTTGTAAAAATTCCTGAAGGCCTTTCCTTCCCACGAATCTCTATATTTTATCTTTGTGTAGCTGAATTTGAAGAAACCTATATATTCTTGGCTCTCCTACTATTGAAATTGAGCTTGAGAAGTATCAAACTTCGATTTTTGAGCATTATAGAGTTGGAAATCGCACTTTTATATTGATAAAATGTAACTAAACATATATGAATAGAGGACCTAAAAGGCACGGCACAACTAAGCTAGAGCGGTTTGAGAAGCTCATCTGGGATAAATGAAAATCCTGTTCCAGGCTCTCCTTGAGAAACAAATAGATAAAGCCTCTTAACATTGTAGAAATTTCCTTTCTGTAGAACTTCATGTGAGCTTTTTCTACCAACGAATCTTTATATTCTATTTTTGTGAAGCTAAATTTGCATTAAACATTATATTCCTGGCTCTCCTACTTTTGAAATTGAGCTTAAGAAATATCAAACTTCGATTTCTGAGCATTATAGAGTTGGAGATGACACACTCATATTGCTAAAATGTAACTTAACATGTACAAATACAGAACTCAAAAGGTACAATTGAGCTAGAGCTATTTGAGAAGCTCATAGAGCTACAATTCATATGAGATAAATGAAAATCTTGTTCCAGGCTCTCCTAGAGAAGTGAATAAATAAAGCCTCTTAACATTGTAGAAATTTCCTATTCGTAGAACTTCATGAAGGCCTTTTTTACTAATTCTATCTTTGTGGAGCTGAATTTGAAGTGAACATCATATTCTTGGCTCTCCTACTGTTGAAATTGAGCTTGAGAAGTATCAAATTTCGATTTTTGAGCATTATAGAGCTGGAGATGACAGCTCATATTATTAGAATTCAACTTGACATGTACGAATACAGGATGTCGAAAAATGGGCCCGTGGGTTTGGCAGTACGCGCGATTTGCCGAAGAATTAGGACTTTATAAATGATTAGGTAGATAGTTTTCCATTATTAAGTACGTCATCATTAGTACGAGCTACCTTGTATGGGGTATGAGGTAACAAGTCACGGGTTACCTGCCATCTTGTACGGGGTAACAAGTTACGAAATACCAAATTTTGGATGAGCCTTCGAAAACTGGCGAGCGGTCAATAATGACAGGTGATATTTGACGGATAATGCAGAACACATGCCGCCTCGTATAACTTACCCCTTTGCTGACGTCACTTGGGTTAGGCCTTTTCAAATTTGGGCTTGTTACTCGGGTTAGGCCCCTTCAAGAACGTGGCTAATTTTACCGCTTGGGTTAGGCCTCTTCAAGAGCGTATCTAATTTCACCCCCACTCTTTTTTGGTACACAATCAAAATAGCGGGGACTGGGGACCTTAGATTTTCTTATGGAGATTTACATGGGAAAATGGGGAGCTGATTGAGCTAGAGCGGTTTGAGAAGGTCATAGAGCTACAATTCATCTGAGATGGAAGAAATGAATGAATGAATGAATGAAAATCCTGTTCCAGGCTCTCCTAGAGAAGCAAATAAATAAAGCCTCTTAGCATTGTAGAAATTTCCTATCTGTATAACTTTATGTAGGCCTTTTCTACCAACGAATATTTATATTCTATCTTTGTGAAGCTAAATTTGAAGTAAACACTATATTCCTGGCTCTCCTGATATTGAAATTGAGCTTCAGAAGTATCAAACTTCGATTTCTGAGCATTATAGAGTAGGAGATGACACACTCATATTGCTAAAATTCAACTTAACATGTACGAATATAGAATTTAAAAAATATAGTTGAACTAGAACCATTTGAAAAGCTTATAGAACTACAATTTATCTGCTAAAATTCATCTTAACATGTAAAAATACAGGACTCAAAAAGTACGTTGAGCTAGAGCGGTTTGAGAAGCTCATAGAGCTACAATTAATTTAGGAATGAATGAAAATCCTGTTCCAGACGCACCTAGAAAAGCATATAAATAAAGCCTCTAAGCATTATAGAAATTTCCTATTTGTAGAACTTCATGTAGGCCTTTTCTGCCAATGATATTCTATCTTTGTGAAGCTAAATTTGAAGTAAACATTCTAATCCTGGCTCTCCTACTATTGAAATTGAGCTTAAAAATTATGAAACTTCAATTTCTGAGCATTATAGAGTTGGAGATGACATCCTCAGATTATTAGAATTCAACTTGACATGTACAAATACAGGACTCAGAAATTACATTGAGCTAGAGCGGTTTGAGAAGCTCATAGAGCTAGAATTCATCTAATGATGAATGAAAATCCTGTTCCAGGCTCTTCTAGAGAAGCAAATTAATAAAGCTTCTAAATATTGTAGAAATTTCCTATTTGTAGAACTTGATGTAGGCCTTTTCTACCAATGAACCTCTATATTCTATCTTTGTGGAGCTGAATTTGAAGTGAACATCATATTCCTGGCTCTCCTACTATTAAAATTGAGCTTGAGAAGTATCAAACTTCGATTTCTGAGCATTATAGAGTTGAAAATGACACTCTCATATTGTTAGAATTCAACTTGACATGAACGAATACAGGACTCAAAAAGTACATTGAGCTAGAGCGGTTTGACTGGTTTGAGAAGCTCATAGAGCTACAATTCATCTGAAGATGAATGAAAATCCTGTTCCAGGCTCTCCTAGAGAAGCAAACAAATAAGGCCTCTAAACATTGTAGAAATTTCCTATTTGTAGAACTTCATGAAGACTTTTTCTACCCACGAATCTTTATATTCTATCTTTGTGTAGTTGAATTTGAAGAAACCTATATATTCCTGGGTCTCCTACTATTGAAATTGAGCTTGAGAAGTATCAAATTTCGATTTTTGAGCATTATAGAGTTGGAAATCACACCCTCATATTGATAAAATACCACTAAATATGTATGAATACAGGATCTAAAAGGCACAGCTAAGCTAGTGCGGTTTGGGAAGTTCATAAAGCTAAAATAAATCTGAGATGAATGAAAATCTTGTTCTAGGCTCTCCTAGAGAAGCAAACAAACATTTTAGAAATTTCCTATTCGTAGAATTTATGTATGATAACTTGCTTAAGGGTTTTCCACTAAAGAGTCGCTAAATTCTTTTAAAAATCACAGTTTCTCATGATGTTTAAAAAATATAAATTCCTCTCTTACTTCAATCAACTAGAGTATACGCACAAAAATATTCTCGTCTTCTTCCTCGACAATCCAAATCACGTCTTGGCAGGTACAAAAGCGCGCATTCCAAATATTTATCATTCGCAACAGCTTGGCACACATGTTGAATTCACTGGAGGAAACCGAGGGCGCAGTCTCCTCATCCCGGATCTCCCCGAAAACCGGGCTCCGGGAACAGTCTCAAGCTTACAGACCAACCTGTTGGTTCAGGGAACAAACGACAAACTTTTACGAATTGTCGAATATTTACTATTGAAAGTGGGTACGAATTAGTGTTTCTTTTTTGGGGTTTAATATAAGTGGTAAGTTTCAAATTTCTACATAAAATGTTTTAATGAGCAATAAATAGACTTTGTAATTTGTTTTAACAACTCAATAAGGAAATATATTATTTTTTACGCACTTTGGTTATACACGACACACGTTTTATTATTAATTTATAGAAATTCGCACTTCTTTGTGTGAAAAGTTTGCGCCGAGTAAATTCTAAATTATTCGGTTTGTCCTTTGTAAACAGCCGCAAACCGTTTTATACAAACAAACCCTTCCTCGCTGGTTTGTACCTAGACAAACTTTAACCCACACTAAATGGTTTAATTTTGGTGAGGTTCTTGAGCTGATGAATAATGTAAATTCATTCATTAATCCTTAATTGTTTTACACTCAATTTGAAAGCAAAAATTACTTTTTGAATGTTTTACATCGTCTACAGATGGTAGAAACACGAGCACGATTGGATTATCCTTGCTTGATATTCATATTGAATCAGAAAATTGCTAGAGATTCTCCAAATTCATTTCCTATAATCCAAAAATAGCCTCAAGGAAATGAAAATACGTGGCTTGTAATTTGTGTAAAATTCATATTCATATAATAATAAACTAGAGGACATTTTTTGCTATAAATAGTCACATGTTTACAAAACACTAATCAGCTTATCTTTCGGGTAAAGCTTGTTAGTATTTTTTGCAAAACTGACGTACAAAAAAAAAAAACCTTCTTATCTTTAACCAGGAAACTATACATCAATGTAATTAGAATCCTCTATATTGCCACTTTACCCAAAGGCAAAATAAATTTAAATTTCCCCTGGCAGTAAAAAGCCCCTACGCGAATTGAGATTTTTCTTTGTTTGTGGCGAGATTTTGTTTAACTCGTTAATTAATTTACGCTTATCCATTAGAAAATTAAATTTTATCCAGGTGCTAATTTAGTTTAATTAAATGTAAAGTGCCTAATCGTGATGGGTGTTGGAAATTTCATGAATCATCGATATGGCAAAACAACAAAGTGCCCCTTATCTGTTTGCAATAAAATTCGATAAAAGATATACTTAATTGGAATTATTTGTTTTTATGTGGCAATATGTATAGGCACTTACCCCAATATCCTAAATTAATAATAACTTTGCCTAGAACAAATTCTGTTATCGGATAAAACCGAAATGTTTCCGATGCAATTTTTTTTTTCCAAAAATCCTTTCTGCGTTTAAATGAGAAAACTCAATATGGAAAATAAATGTATGCGATCCAGGTTTTAAAGCATTTCTCTACAAATCGGTTTGCAGGCTATGAATTCGGTTCAAATGAACCATTTTGCCGGAAGGCTTAGGATGAATTGAGGAAATTAAAAAAAGAAAACTCGTTGCTAGTTTATTTATCGATTTATCCTGTATGTCCCTGGATGAAAATGATAAATAACATCTGGATAAAATTTGAAACAGTCATAACTTCAACTTTTTGAATCAATTCAACAAATACCTAAGATGAAAATTTTGTCTTGTTCTTCCTGGCGTCATCAATGTTAATTTCTGTTCTGAATCATAAAGTGGTTGGATCATCAATTGAAAATTCCTGTATTTAGGAGGATGCTCAGAATTCTTGGTAGTTTGTTGTTTGTGGTTTGTTGGTTGGGTAAGTAATACACACGGGAAGGTTGGTAACTGGAGAGTAAGAACTACTATTGCTAATACTTCGTTTGGAATATCCAGGATGACTCTTTTTCTGTTTCTAATGGAATTGGAGTCAATCTGATTAGCATAAATTCGTTGTGTTCTATCATCACAAAATAGTGTCGTCTATAATAATCCCGAAGGTCATCTATGTAATTGGAGACAAGAATCTCTGGAGTTGATTGCTGATTCTGGATTCGGTGTCATTGAAAGTAGATTGAGCATGTAGCATGAATTTATTTATTTATCAACGGGTCGAGCCCACTTACAAAATGTTAAACATTCAATTCAACAATATAGAATTACATAACAAATGTAACAAAAATAAAGTTAATCACTCTTAAAATTATATAATAATAATAATAATAACAACAACAAACAGCCCAGCAACTTGATGAGAAATGAGTAAGGCTAGATAGGTAGATTGGACTAGTAGATTTAGGTAAAAATCAAATAATAATGAGTAGGTACAGTAAAGTTATAAGAGGTGGGATTAGCAGTTTATGATAAAAGTTTGCTAACAACTACCTAAAAGTATGACGAACTTGACTCAGGAAAATACTCAAGGGGGCAAAAAAGTCATGGTGCTCATTTGCAAGTCTAGTTGTTCGGGAAATAAAAGTATTGCGTCCGTAATTAGTTCGATGAATCGGAATATGAAAACTGTCATTCGACCTGGTGGTTCTAGGAGGAACATGAATGCTAATTTTGTGAAGAATTTCGGGAGTCGAAGCCTTCCCATGTAGGATATTATAGAAGGTTGTAAGATCTCTCCTCTTGTGACGCATAGTTATTGCGGCCATATTCAACATAGAAAGTAGTTGTGAATCATTATAATTATTCAAAATATTCAGTTTAAAGGCAATTTGTTTCAAAAATTTGTGTTCAACGAGCTGTACAGAATCTCGATGTACAACATAAAAGAGAGACCAGACGCAAGAGGCATATTCTAGATGAGGGCGTACTAGGGCACAATATAAAGTTTTTAAGGTGGTAACATTGGTGAAATCTTGTGTAGTCCTTCTGATAAAATCCAGCATTTGAAAAGTTTTATTTACTGCATTGTTTAAATGATTATTGAAGAAAAGATCTGTGTCCAAAGAAACACCAAGGTCTCTGATAATGGAAACTTCCCAAGGATGTGTTGACCAATTTTATAATTAAATTTAATAGGATTTTTGAGACGTGAAAATGTAATGGCTTTACATTTAGATGGGTTGAGATCCATGAAGTTTCCAATACACCAATCTTGAAGGCTGTTAAGATCGTACTGTAGCTTGTCACAGTCTTCAGGAGTTCTTGTTATGTAGCTCATTTTGAGGTCGTCGGCAAACAATAAGAAAAGACATATGGTAAAACATTCGTGAATATCATTTACAAAGACATTAAAAAGGAGTGGCTCAAGATGGGACCCCTGTGGCACCCCAGAGGTAACCTGAAAGATTTTGGAGAGGAAATTGCCAATTTTAACAATCTGTCTCCGACCAGACAAATAACTGTGAAACCATGAGATCAACGGTTCATCAATCCCAAACAACCTAAGTAATAACATGGTATGGGAGACCCTGTCGAATGCCTTGGAGAAGTCAGTGTAAATTGTATCCACTTGAAGTCCCTTCTCCAAGACATCCAACAGATAATCCACTTGAGTTAAAAGATTTAATTCAGTTGGTCTGAAGCCAAATTGTTCATTAATTAACTTAGGTTCTAAGAGGGGGGTTAAAAAGTAAGATACTAGGCTCTCAAAAACTTTAGGTATTGTGTTGATAATACTAATGGGTCGGTAATTGGTTACCAAGGTTTTATCTCCGGATTTAAAGATGGGCTTGAGAAAGCTTTCTTTCCAAAACTCTGGAAAAACGCCAGTACGTAGTGATAGGTTGAAAATGTGGTAAAGGGGCCTTGTGCAGTTTTTAGAAGTATGGCTGGTATTCCATCTGGACCAGGGCCTTTGTTGATATCTAGCGTAGATAATTTGGTGAATATGTCAGATATTAGTATATGATGCTTTGGTATCTGGACTATGGATGTAGGTAACTCATGTGTAGAAATATCATGATGATTGTTTGAATAAACTGTAGAAAAATAATCTGCAAACATGTCAGCAATCTCCTTACCAGAGCAACTTGACCTGTCTTGATATTTAAGTTCACTAGGAAAAGCATTGCTTTTCCTTTTATTGTTAACAAAAGACCAGAATTTTTTCATGTTGGAGTTAATGGCCCTTTCAGTCCCCTGAACATAGTTTCGGTAGCATTCCTGTGTCAAGTTTTTGCAGAGATGTCTCAACCTAGAAAATTCACGATAATCCACATCAGAACGAGAGGACTTGTATTTTTTAGTTTTAGAATTACATAGTTTTTTAATTCAACTGAAAACCAAAGCGGAAATTTTCTAGCAGAGAGGTACAAATTTATCAATGGCAAATATAATTTCATGAAAAATATTTAACATTGTATCAAGAGTTTGATTACATGATAAAAAGTCCCAATTAAATTGATCTAAAAACATAACAATATCCTGAAAATTGGTAGAATTAAAGTCTCTATAAAAACCGTCAAAGTCAAGACCTTTTCCAGTAGTGTCCGAACAGTTAGCTTTCAAGGTAACACTTAAAGGCGGGTGAACCACAAAAGGAACTAGGAAACAGTCAGCAGATCTAACTTCCGTCGAAGAGTCTTGCGTAAGAATTAGGTCAAGGAGGCTATTGTGAGATGTTAAATATTTATTAGTTTGGAACAAAGTGGTGAAAGTTACAGATGTTTGACAAAACCTCAACACGAGTGTAATCTAGAGGCACAAGCTTTGTTTTGGTTTCACTCAGAACTAGTTCGGAATCACTCTGCACATGCGCATATAATAAAACGCGTTTTCGTTTTTTCAGAATCGTAATCGAACTGTGTTGACAGTGTTTTGGTTTATCTAGAACTATTCAAGAACAATTCTAGGATAGTTCTAGAACGGTTTTCTCGGTTCTTGCTCTGAAGGAGGAACTGTTTTAGAATTTTTTTGGTCTGCAGCGTGTTTTGGTTTTTTTGGTTCCGAATCGGTTCAGAACTAGTATTAGAACAGTCCTCGATTATTTTTTGCGCGCAAGTAGTTCTGCGCAATCCCAGAACCGTTCCAAATTTCGAACCAAAACAAAGCTACAGTTGCAGTCACAAGCTTTGTTTTGGTTCGAAACTTGGAACGGTTCTGGAATTGCGCAGAACTGCTTGCGCACAAAAAATAATAGAGGACTGTTCTAATACTAATTCTGAACCAATTCGGAACCAAAAAAACCAAAACACAAAATTCTAAAACAGTTCCTCCTTCAGAGCAAGAACTGAGACAACCGTTCTAGAACAATCC